CATCACTGTGTGCCTGGCTGGGGTTGGAAGGAGGCCACACTGATCTGGGGTGTTTGCGTCTGGATGGAGCCAGAATTCCAAGGATCCTGTGGTTTGGAGGGGGCGTGGCGACATCTACTGGGGGGGACCAGGGAGCGGGAACATGGCCGGGGACATCAGTCGGGGGGTGAAGCCCCCATGGGGGAGAGTTTGGTACCTGGAACACCCCTGAGGAGGCTCCCAGGGGCTCGCACCGGGCTCCCCTGCAGGTCAGGGACACAAGCCCACCCACACGGGAAACACATCGCATGCTGTTGGTGGGGTGGGGGGGACTCTCCTTTCAGGGCGGGGGCTGGGCACAAGCAGAAAGGGGCTCCCTCTTTCTACTCTTCTGTGATCACCCGGAGAGCGGCCAATGCCATTATCTCTCAGAGGAAGAGCAGAATGACCACCACCCGCTGGGCAGCCTTGACCTGGTCAGGAGGCAGCCCTCTGTTTTCCTGGGAGTGTCTGTGGATGGTTAGAAATTTCTCCCAGTTTCTTCTGAAAACACTTGCGCACGTGGCAATTTCCGTGGCTCCGGGCGTGTGGGAACGTGGCATGTTTTGATAGTGAGGGTGAGCCAACCCCACACAGGCCTGGGCGCTTTTCCTGTTGTTTCTGGTGCAGGGCGGGAGGGTCCAAGAGAGCGTCCCAGAACCTCCGTCCGGCCTCTCCGAGCACAGCCCTCGAGCTGTAGCCCCAGGAGACGTGTTCCTAATGCCCGGAATCTGTGAGTGTGGCCTTTCTAGGAAAAAAGATCTTTGTAGATGTGATCGAATTAGGGACCCCCAATATGAGATTGTCTTGGGTTCCCCTGGGGGGGGGACTTACTGGTGTCACAAGTATCCCTATAAGGGACATGTGGGACAGAGACATAGAGGAAATGCCACCTAGGACAGAGGGGGAGGGACACGGCCACCAGCAGCCACAAGAGCTGGAGGTCCTGGCTGGATCCCCCCTCAAGTTCTGGAGGGAGCACAACCTCACCCATACCTTGATCTTGGACTTCCGGCCTCCAGATCTGTGTGAGAATAAATTTTTGCTGTTTCAAGCCCTCCGGATGGTAGCAAGTGAACACAGCAGGTTACGTGGAGGAAAAGGAAAGCACGCATGCAGTGCCTGCCTGAAGAGCCCTGCTGCCCGGCAGCTCCCCGCTGGACACCCCCAGGAAGAAACGGCCCCACATGCGTTGAGTGTCCGGCTCTCCCCCTGGAAGTCAGGGGAGTCTCCCTGCCCCCGCTGTCCTAGCCCTGCCCCTCCCCACAGCCCCAGCGACAGGGCGGTGTTGACCTTTCCAGCCTCATTCTGAGGACGGAGTCCTTTGGTGGGTGTTGGGGTCCTGGCCACCCCGCAGCCCCTTGCCCCTTGCACAGGCCAGTGGGGTCTGCAGGCAGCCTGTCTCTGTGCTTTGGTTACTGCCGCTGCCCCTCGGAACAATTTGTTACTTAAACTGTAACCCCTGGAGGATTTTACTAGTTACCAAGCACATTTAGATATGGCCTTAAGAAATACATATACTGGCAACGGGTTTTTGGGGAGAAGGGCGGTATACGATTGTGAAGCTGGGCAGCTGGGGATGCCCGGCTCGCTCAGGGCGGAATGCCGCCCGCTTCAGGGAAGCCGAGCACCCAGGAACGCCCGGTCAGCTCAGGGTGGAGCGAAAACCGCCTGCTTCCCTTTTCCATTATCACTCCTTTCTCATCCCAGAAACGCCTGTTGTTAGTTAGGTGTGTCCTTTGAATATGCTTGGTTAACTATAAACTTTACCCTCCTCCTCGCTTGTCTGCAGGACTGACTGACGTTTGATCTTCATCGGTCCTCCTGTTGGCTATTGTTTCTATCCAATAAAAGTGAGACTGTGGAGTTGCTCGGGGCAGCCGTCCGTTTCGACTGTTGTCCCTGCTCCCCATCTCTTGCAGCTGCCTTGTTTGTGCCTAATTCTTCTCCCGTCGCCGACTGGAAGCGGCAGGTTACGACTCACCGTGGTGCACTTTCTGGCTACCCTGATCTGGCAGGGGCAAGGCGGGCGAGGGGCTGGGACAGGTGTGTTCACCTTGGGCGTCCGCGCGGAATGAGGCTTGCTTGGCACCGCTCAGCTTCCGGAACTGTAGTGCTCAGCCGGCAGCACGTGGAGTGAGGAGCGAAATCTCACCGCCTCAAGGTGGCTGGGTCCCAACACTGCACAGCACTGCCCACTGTGTGACCGGGTTGCGTCACAGCGTTCTCGTTCATGGGATGGGTGACTGCGCCCTGGGGGTCCCGCTGCCTGCCGCAGCGAGGGGCACACCATCAATCCCATGCAGACCTCACACGTCCGAGCTCAGGGTCCCAGGGGCTGGGGCCGACCCCCGGCCCCTCCACTGAGGACTTGGACTCTGGAACAGGTGATGGCTGCCAGTTCTGATACTCTGTGGTGCTGGCAGGAGGAGGCTGGCCTGGTCCCACCCTCGCCTGGTGTCTGATTCCAGGTGGAAGGGCAGACAGTCGCCGTGATGGTCTCACTTGGTGTGATGCCGTCTGTGTCCGTGCACAGTGCCGCATGCACCAGGGCTCCATTCCCACGGACACCCGAGCTACGCGCCATCATACGGCCACACCACACTTGTAGAGACCTGTTGACCTGTTCAAGGACATGTGGGTTGTTTCCTCTTTGGGCTCTTCCAAATGACGCTGCTACAAAAACGGGTGCACACACTTTCCTCCGGCTGTTCGTTTCTTCTGAGCGTGTGCCGGCACTGCCGGTTCCCATGGTAACCCTACAGTCGAAGTCTCAAGGAGCTTGCCAGACAGCCTTCCCTGCGGCTGCACCGTTCACGTCCCCAGCAGCGCGTGGAAGGTGGACTCTGGCCACCCTGGTGGGTGTGAAGCAGAGTCCCCTTGTGGTTTTGACTTGCATTTCCATCTCCAGGTGACTCTGGGAACTCCAGATACACCGTGGTCTCCTGCGTGGGCCTGGGGCTGTCCCGTCTTCCATCTGCAGATGGGACTGGGACAGCCCTCGCCCGCAAATCCTGGTGCAGACGGGAGAATGTATCCGGGAGAGATATTCTGGGAAGCCACGGAGCCAAGGGCTCCCACGCTGCCAGCTGGTGACCTGGTCTGCCACCCCGTCCCCAGGAGCATCCGAGACACTTTCCTTTTGATAAAACCGAAACCACACTTCACGGCAGTGAGGAATGTCCCAGGAGACATTTGTCCATGTCTGGAAACATTTTCGATTGTCGTGACCAGTGGGGATGCCATGTGTCTAGTGGAAGAGCCCAGGGATGCTGCCGGACTCCCAGAGTGCCCAGGCCCCGGACACAGAGTCACTGTCCCCTTGTGCCTGGGATGCTGGTTTTGAAAGGCTCCATCGCCTGTAACATCAACCCACCTATTTTTTTCATTGAACATTTTCCTAGGAAGTCCCTTTCCGGGTGTTCTGAAGGTCAAGATTTGCAAAGAAGATCAAAAGCTTTGGGTGGTGAGTCCAAGTTCCCATGTGTGACCCTGTCACTGTAGCGCCCCCCCCCAAGCCTGCTGAATCATCCCCATCAGGAACTAGACTTCCCATGGGGGGTGCTTCTAGAGGCCCCTTCTTCTCCCTGGCCCACCCCCACAAAGGCCATCGGATTGAGCTCCAGGGACCTCCCTGTGCCCCACTCTGCCTGCTCCCTCCCTCCTGCCTATCAGCAAACACCCCCTGAGAACACTCCCCCGTCCTCCCAACCCTTCTACTTACTGGGGTCTGAGAGCCGCACACCTCCATAGACCCCGGGTTACAGCTCTGCTGTGGCTTTCTCTCTACTTTGCTAGGGACTCTAGACCTTGGCCTTGCTCTTTTGTTAAGTGGACAGTGGGACCTTTAGCCAATATTGTATTGGTGAAAACTTGGTGCTTTGTAAATCCCACAGGTGGGGTCAGGGATTGAGGTCACCATGGGAACCTGATTTTAGATCACCCGCCTGTGAAGGGGCCGGTGACCACGGGGTGCTCAGCGCGTGTGGGGTGAGCACCGGAGCCGCTTTGCCCGGCTGAGCGGCTCAGCCGTGGAAGCCATCACCAGCGGGGCTGGCACTCTGGCCCTGGACTACTGGAGCCAAGAACAATGGCCTGCGGCTGAAGTGTCACCAGCTGTCCCCGCGCCCCACGCGCTCTGCTCAGGGACCACCTGCTGGCTCCCCATGTAGGAGTCACTTCCCGAGGGCCAGCCTGATCATGGCTCACACTGATGGAGAACTCTGGGGCTCCCTGTGACTCAAGGATAAAAGCAAAGCCTCTGTACCCCCCTCACCTGCTTCCCTTCTCCCATCTGCCCCGACCTTGCTCAGTCCCACCTCCAGGCCTTCGCATGGCAGGGTTGTCCCCCAGGGGCACAAGACCTATGTATGCCTCAAGGCTGCGATGCTGGGTCTCCCTAGTGTCCCTACCCCCAGACCTGACCCTGCCCTGGCACAGACACAGTTGGAACAGACTTGGCCCCCCTGTCTCCCCACATTCTCTGGGCCTGTGAGCCCTTGGTAGACCATCCCACCCTCCTTCTCCTCCTGAGTCCTCAGACCTGGGAGGGGACCTCTGGGCTGTGAACCCTGGGAGCCCGGGGAGGTGTTGAGGAGGTTGATGGGGGCAGATGCAGGAGGTGCTCGGTGGGAGGCTACAGGCAGGGGAGGGGAGGGCTGCTGCTTCCGCCCACTGGTCTGGGGCAGGCTCCAGGGGCTCTGGTTCTGTACTGGGGCAGCAGCGCGGCCGGTCGCCGCTCCAAGCCTCCTGACGATTAAGAAGGGGTCCCGCGTCCCTCCCCAGCTCGCGCGAAGCCCCCGGAGGGGAAGAGGGAGAGGCGGCGCGGCTGTTCCTCGGAGGCGGAGCTGGGCCAGGGGGTCGGGGGAGCCCGGGACTGAGGGGCGGGAGGCTGCGGGGTGGGACCCGGCTGGCGGCGGGCCCGAGTCTGTGGGGCGGGGGCCGCCTCGGGGTGGAGCCGGGGGCCGCGGGGCGGGCCGGGAATGGGGGGGGGCGGGGGCCGCGGGCAGAGGCGCCCAGCAGACGGCGCGCGGGGGTGGCTCAGGTCCAGACTCGGGGCCGGCGCGGACACGGTGGGCTGCTGCTCCGGCCGCTGCGCGCCCATCTTCCTCCGCGCTTTCCAGCTGGTGAGTGGCCGCTCCTGCTCGGGTCCCACGGTCCCAGCGCGCGGGGTGCGGGGAGGGCGGGGTCTTCCGCAGGGGACGGTCAGAGTCGCGGGCTTCTGGGGCCGAAGTTTGCCGCGGCCCGGGAAGGGTAGGGAGCCAGCGTCCTGCGCGCGACCCCGCTGGCCCCTGAGGCCAACCTCGGTGCCCCGCTGGGCGTGTGCGCCCGTAGGGAAGTGGGGGCCGCCACGGGGACCCGATCGCCGGGGACAGGTGCCGCCGGGGCAGGTGCCAGGGAGCGGCTGGAAAGGACCCAGGCGGAGCAGAAGCCTCCGGACCGGGCTCCTGTGCGTGAGCGCGCGCTCCCTTTCCAAAGCCAGCGCCAGGCCCTGGGTGAGCGGCGCCGGCCCATTTCTAAGGCCCGGGAGCCTGGGGGTGGGGATGTGCTTGCGAGTTCCCGAGTGTATGTTAAGGGTGTGTGAGCGCGGCCCTGTCCCCTTTGGCCCGGGAGGATGGGGCCCCCTCGCCCTTTCTCTGTCCTGGAGAGATGGGGAGGAGAAAAGACCAGCCAGCGGCGCCCAGAGTTGCACCTGGGAACCTTCTGTGTTGGGGATTAGCTGCTCCCCTGGATCCAGAGCTTTGCTAGAGAACTTGGGCACCCCCCCACCCCCCACCCCTGCCCCGGCCAAGTTTCCATTTTGCCCCAGCCGCTCCCAGTCGTTCTGAAGCCCGAGGCATGGCATGGGGGTGATGGAGTGCTAAACTGAGGTCCCAGGCCGCAGACCTGGGGAGAAGATGCCCAGGAGCCCTGGGGTCTCCCATCTTAGAAAAGAAATGGTGTTTTGTTGAGGCCAGGCTGTGGGCTTCTGGCTCGGCAGGGCAGGGGCCTTCCTCCTCCGGAAGCTCGGAGACCCAGAGAGCATGACGTTTGAAGCAGAAAGTCCTCGCACGCATGGCATCCTGTCCTTTGGCTGTCCTTTGCGTGGGGGTGAGGGTTGGGGCAGAAACGGCAGGGCCTTTGAAACAACCAGGAGGCCCCTGTGGAGCCAGCGTCCACCCTGGGCACACGCCTGAGCTGTAGGGCCTGTGTCGGGAGCACAGCCGTGCGCAGCCGCACACCTCCAGTCCGGGTGTGGGCCTGGACCCTGGAGAGCACGGCCAGCGGTGGCCTGTGCAGGGACTGGGAGGAGCTGGCAGGCGGCCCAGAGTCTCCCCTGAGTGCGTGGCACTGGCAGGGGGTGCTGGGGAGGGGCATGAACCCCAGCCCTTTGATTAGGGCGATGTGGTCAGGAGAGGAGGCTGGGGCTCAGGACGTCACGTCATTCTGTGTCGAGAACAGGTGGGGCTGGCGGGCTGTGCCCGGGAAGGCTGTGGCGTGCATGCATGTGTGCACGGCTCATTCTCCTTGCGTGGCAGGGTCCCCCATCACAGCGCAGGCCCTTCGCGCTTGGGCACCCCCTCCCTCCAGAGCTTTGCCTCTCCTGCGGTTGCTTCACTCCCCTCCCCCACCACACTCGTCTGGGCCTGGCCAGGCTCCTCTGCCCACCCAGGCCCTGACCCCTCAGGCCCGGGTTTGTGGGGCTGTCCTCCGTGGGGCTGGCCAAGAGCTCCAGGTCCCAATCCCCCACTTCTGCTGGGCAGGGCTGGGGTCTCAGGAGGCAGGGAGAGGCAGGATCTCTGCCCTCAGGCGCCTGTCTCTTCCTCCAGATCTGTAAAAGTGAGGAAGTTCTGGGCTCCGGGATCCAAGCCCGGATGGGAGCTACTGTCTGCCGCCCGGCGATGGGGTGCATGAGGGGCTGGGCCATGGGCTGGCGCAGGGCGACCTCTGGGCAGAGACGGCCTCTCCCGTGCCCGGGGTTAGCTCCGCAAACACCTGAAGGGCTGTGTGGTGAGGCAGGAGATGGGGGTGCTGGGGAGGGGGCTTCGTTTCTGCTCGTCCTTGTCCCCTGAAAACTCGCTGCTACAGTCTCCGTTCTGTACTGTGACTCGCAGCCCTACCGCGCGCTTCCTTCTCTGAGGGAGTTCTGCTGCCTCTTCCTGCAGGTGGAGCCTCTGAGAATTCTTTTTGCATTTCTAAGATTTATGTATTTATTTGAGAGAGAGAGAGAACCTGAGCAGTGGGAGGGGCAGAGGGAGAGGGAGAGAGACTGTCAGGGGACTCCCCACTGAGGGCTCGATCCCAGGACCCTGAGACTATGACCCGAGCTGCTGGAGAACTGAGCCGCCAGGCGCCCCTGCGTGGGTAGTTCTTTAATTCTTCCTGGCCTTTGCTAGCCGTGACCCAGTCCTGCTTCAGGTGCTGGGAGGAGGAAGCCCCAAGCCCGATGCTTCCTTTGGTTCCCATTTTTTGGGTGCTGTGAGGGGCGTCCCGGGACCCCTCTGGTGAGGCTGCGGTAAGGACTTGGGCTGACACAGTGTCCGTGACACTCAAGTGCTTTCGGGCTGAGCTGATTTTCAGGTTCTGGTGGCCAGAGGGCACGGGGATGCAGATGCTCCTTCCTGACGGGGTCCCAGAGCCCCCAGCACAGTGGCGGGGCCCTCAGGGTGGGTTGGGGGAGTGGGGGTGGGACCTGCATTTTGGAAGATCAGTGCAGGCTCTGCTACTGAAGCGTGAGCGTCCTCTCTGTCCTGAATTTCAAGAACCATAAGGCGTGGGGGGGGCAAGCAGGAGGCCAGGCACCAGCTGGTGAGCGGCCTGGGCCTTCCGGGGCCACTCTCTGTGGGGAGGACACACGGCTTGGAGGCCCTGCTGAGTATCCCCCCCCTCAGGCGCAGGCTTGTGATGGGATGGATGCCCTGGGAGGGGACAGACAGACTTGCCTGAGCACATGGCGGCAACACTGGGGTCTGTCCATTGGGCAGCTGGGTCTCTGTGCACCCTGCCCGGTGTGTCCACGGCCCTATGTCAGCCCTCCTCCCCCCTTCCTGGCCTGCTAGTGCCCTCCGACCTCCGTCCCCTTCCTGGAAGGCCACCAAGCAGGAACACCCATAGTCCCAGGGATGCCCCCTGTGGTCCAAAACCGTGGGCGCAGAGGACGCAGGGCATGGTCAGGGAGGCCGAAGTTGGACAGCAGACACCTCAGACGGGAGGGGACAGGGGGCCCATGGTCTTCCCAGCAGCTGCCTGGCCCCCTCCTCTTTGCTCTGAGGGCGTCCCTGTGAGGGGATGGGCCCGGCCCATGGGTCCCACCTGCCCACTGGGGTCTCAGACTCCGACTGAAGCCTTCTTAGCCGCAGTGACGGTGCCGCACGTCCTTCCAGACGTGTACTGACCACTCGAGACCGTGTCGGTTACAGACCCTCATCCTGTGCAGGGCAAGCAGTGGGGAGTCTAGTGACTGGCCAGACCCCGGCAACACCCGATGGGCATTAAGAACAAAGTGGGGACAGAAGGCGGGGGCTTGGCTGGCCCTGGTTCTCCTCAGAGACTGCCTGCGTCTCAGGAGACGATGCCTGTCACCTCCTGGCCTCGGTGGCGGGGGGGCTGGTCTGGAGCTGCCCATCCCCCACGCGCCTGTGGGGCAGGAAGGCTGTGGCCTGCAGGAGAGCAGCGCAGAGCAGACACGTGTCCTGCCCTTGAGCCGCTCCCAGTCCCCACGGCCCGCTGTCTCCCAGGATGGACCCCAGCCTCTGCAGGGCACACTTGGAATGTCCGTGGCCAGAGGCCTGGAAACAGCTGCCGCTGCCCCTTCGGGGCCATACACGGGAGCTGGCCGTGCCACGGATGCACCCCCGGCCACTGTTTAGGGGGCTGGTCGGAGCCCCGCAGGCAGCTGGGGTGGGGCCAGGCCCAGGCGCTCCTGTGGGGGTCAGGGCATTTGTGAAGTCCACAAAGGCCCACCCCACTGGGCTTTGTCTGTCCCTCACTGCAGTGAGGAGCAGTGTGGCGCCTGGAGACCCATCTGGCCTACTTGCTCATGGTTCCAGCTCACCCAGCCTGTGGGAGGGACCTGGAGGGGGGCTTGCTCGGAGAGGCTCTCCTCTGGGACTCGGCAGGTGGCCCCCACACAACCCATGCAGCTGAGTTGGCTCTGGGTCGGGGACTGGCTGTCCCCAGGCCGGTGGCATGCTGGCGCACAGTGGGGCCATAGGGGAATGGTGGAGTGCGGCCAGGAGCCCTGCCAGGATGCTGTCCCCTCGCTGCCGCCATCGTGCCAGGGTGTGGCCCGTCCCCTCCGACCCTTGCTGGACATGCCATGTCTTGCATGGGTGGGAAGGTGCTGGGTGCGGTGGGTCTCGCTGTGTGTGCTCCCGGGTACAGTCTGGTTTCTCCCAGTGATGGGCCAGGGCTGCAGAATGGCTGAAGGAACGTACGGACGCGTGTGCGCCTGCTGGGGCCAGGACTGCACTCAGAGCCGGTAGGTCGCCCCTGCGGATTAAACATCATGTTCCTGGGGTGTCCAGCAGGCTCAGCGAGGGGGGCATGCCACTGTTGACCTCAGGGTCGTGAGCCCCGCGCTGGGCGTGAGGACTACCAACAAAAGAGAAAGCAAGGCCTTAAAAACCATCGAGCTCCAAGGAGGTCTGTGAGTGCCTCTGCTGGTCCTCTGTTGGCTGTGCCCGCAGGGCTGGAGAGCGGGAATGGCCACAGTCCATGGAGTGAGGGGAGAGCCCAGCAGACGGGGAGGGTGCTGACCGGAGCTCCACGGGGCCTCAGCGCCCACTCCTGCCGAGAGTGTCCCAGAGCCGCAAGCCTTGGCCTCACGCGTCCTGCCCCAGGTTTGTGGCTGGGCCTGCAACCCCGTGAGTTAGAGCAGCCCGGCGTTCCCACTCTGGGGATGAGGGAATCCAGGTTGGGGGGTGGTGCTTGTCCAAAGACGGCCTTTCCAAGCAGAAGGGACACCCCCAAGGTGAGACTTGAGGGCCAGTTGGATGCGTTTGGAGATTTCTGTTGGAAGACCCAAGACCATTGCCGGCGCCGGGTGGTGGTGATCAGACGGGAGACGCAGGCGGGGGTTCTGTCGCCTCAGGCACCCGCGCTGCCCCGAGGTCGCTGCCCTGGAGCGGCAGGTGTTTGACTTCCTGGGCTGTCAGTAGGCGCCCATCCTGGCCACCTTTGTCCACATCGTTGTGGTCATCCTGGGGCTCTTTGGGACCATCCAGCACTGGCCTCGCTATGTCGTGGTGGTGAGTTTGTCGTGCTCCTGCAGACCCCCATGGGCAGGGGGGCAGGATGTCCAGTGGGAGGGCTCTGGCGGCATCGTGCCCTAGAAGCCACAGGAACATCCCGGAGAGTCTGGGATTCGGCCGCCGCAGCCTGAGCCCTGTCTGGGGCAGGCTCGGGGAAGTCACCTCCAAACAGAGCGTGCAGGCTGCAGACTCGGGGAGCAGAGTCGCCCCTGCTAGTCCCCTCCCAGGGTGCTCTGGAAAGGCAGGTTGGCGCCTACAAAAGACCTGAGTTCACTTTCCCCACCCCACCCCGTCTCAACTTTCCAGCTGTGTGGGCCGCCGTCTGGGTTACCTGGAACGTCTTCATTATCTGCTTCTTCCTGGAGGTTGGGGACTGTCGAAGGTGGGTACGTCGAGGGCTTGTGGCTGGGCCCCTGAGCGTTATACACGGCTGCTTGTGGGTCACTGTCTCTCCCGTGGCCGGTTCGTGGCCCTGGCCCTGGCCCTGGCTCCCAGGACAGCCCCGGGCCACAGAAGGGACTCATAAAGGTTGGGGGAAGACCTGTGATTTGATGGGTAGACGGGGGCTGTGGGCAGTTCGGGCCGTGGACGTGGAGGAGGGCCGGGGAGCAAAGAGGTGCGGCGGGGCACCTGGAGGGGCAGGTTCTTTCAGATGCTGGTAGAACCCACTGCCCTCTCCCGGGCAGGCGGGCGCCCCCCAAGCCGCGGTCTGCCAGAGTGGCGGTTTTATCTCACCCGAAGCTGAGAGCCAGGGGTGCGGGGCAGACTGGCCGTTGCTTTGTGGGGCCGCAGCTGGGGCAGCAGAGCGGGGAAGACAGACGTTAGTTCCAAACCTAAAATGACAGTGGTGACCAAGGACAGGAAGGAGGGGCCGAGAGCGCTGTGCGAACACACCCTCAGGGTCTGGCCTGGCAGGGAGGCCTTCCTGGAGGAGGGGTGTAAGCCGGGTAGGGGCCGGGCAAGCGATGGGAGGCCTTCTTGCAGGGGAGTGGCGAGCGGGCCTTGGGGTCCCTGCCGCCCTTGGCTGGAGGGCAGGGCACCCCTACACCTTCACAGGGGCCCACACTGGGCTGTGAGGGTGGGTGGGCCGTGTCCCTGCTGCTCACCTGGTCCCACCCTCACCCCCGGAGCAGCGAGCTCCTGACCTTCAACCTCTCCCGCGCTGCTCCTGGTGGCATGAGCATGGCCCGGGCTGCCCGCGTGAGGAGCCACAGGCTGGTCTTGGGCTCCTAGACGGCCTTGGTGCCAGGCATCGGCTGTGCCCTGGGGGCATGGCTACGCTGAGGCCCTGCACGGGGCCCTGCAGTGGGGGGGTCAGGGCAGGAGAGGAAGCGGGGAAAGGGGTGGGAGAGGGGCTTACAGGTAAGGAGTCACCCCCACCCCCATCTGTCCCTCAGGCCACTGGAGCCTCAGTGTGCTGCTCTGCAAAATAGGTTCAGAACGGGCTCCAGCCCCAGGGTGGGCACGAGGGTGGGAGAAAGACAGAGCCCGAGGCTCTGTTGATGCTGTCGGTGGGTTGGGACCAGAATGAAGGTGTGTCTGTCTGTCCCCTGCCGGCCCTGAAGCCTCCATCACAGCCCCTCCAAGTCACACAGACACCTGACATGAGGGGGCAGAGGCGCAGCTGGGCTGCACCTGCTGTGTTGATAGGGGTTGTGACCCCATGAGTACAACTACAGGATGCCCAGTGCCGTGTGAGTTTCAGATCAGCAAGGACTACGTTTCGGCGTTGCGCGCTCTACGCGGGATTTGTGACGTACACGACATCTGTGGTTCATCGTGTATCTGAAATTCGCATTTAAGTGGGTGTCCTGTATTTTATCTGCAAGCCCTGAAAAGAGAAGTGTTTTAATGCAGGGGCCGGGCGTGGGCAGGAGCATCTCAGGCCTCAGGAGCTGGGCCAGCGCCCGGCCCCCTCTGCCCCTCCAGACTGGGAACGGGGGACTGGGGAAGCTGCTGGGACAGACTCCGGCCATAAACCGGTGGCTTCTCCAAGCCCGTTTCTCTTCTGCGACCCAGACGGGTAGCTCCCCGCACCTTCCCCACCATGGAGGTCTGGGCACTTGGCTTCTGACCCCCATGGAGGGGCTCTGGGACTAGATGGGCAGGAGGGAGGAGGAGCGAAGCCGCAGCTTCGTGAGAAGCGGGGGTCCTCTGCAGGGCGTCCTCCGCCATCTGCATTCAGGCCCGAAGCGCCCAGTCTCCTGAAGCCCGTGAGGGGGCGCCGGGAGCTACTTCTATCCACGCTCGGGAACCCCACTCTGAGGGGAGAGTCTGAACTCAGCGGCAGAGGGCTGCTTGGCGCCCGTGCCTCTGGCAGGCTGCCGTCGGGTGGGGCACATGGTGCGGGCACACGGCGTGGCTGAGGTCCATGTCTCATCCTCCTGTGCCTGCCTCGTGTCCCTAGCGTGTGGACAGGGAACGGAAGCCCAGTGAGAGTGCCGCGCGGGGAGCGTGCTGCTGAAGGGGTCTGCAGGAGCTGGTGGCTGCGCTGTGACCTAGGATCCTGGAACATCACGGCTGGAGACAGTGACCCTGCGGGTCGGGAGTCTAGGAATGGCTTAATCGGCCGGTGCTGGCTTGAGATCACTCACGAAGCCTCCGTTGGTGGAGGCTTTGGTCACCTGAAGGCTGGACCGGGGCTTCAAGCGCTGGTTCCAAGGGCACCCCCAGGGCTGCTTGGGCGTCTTCACCATGGGCGGCTGGTCCTGCAGGGCAAGTGGGCGGAGAGGGACGGGCAGCTGCATTGCCTCTGAGACCCTGTCTTGGATGTCACACTTGGTCATTTCCGGAGGATCTCAGCGTTTGCACAGGTCAGCTCTAGTCAGGGTGGGAGATGGCCCTGCAGGGCATGAGCTCCGGGGAGATCCACCAGGATGGCCCCGCAGCTTCTGCAGGAGCCCAGGCTCTCCCTGCTGTTGGTTCCCTGCAGTGACAAGGCAGACGGGGCCCAGATGCCTCCCTTTCTTCCAACAAGGCCCAGCCTCTCTGGATTGGAGCCCTAGGGAGGCCCTTTCTCCCCATCATCTCCTCCAGAGAGATAAGGACCCATCTGAAGACGAGGAAGGTGGAAGCCCACAGTTTTACTTAAGGCCCGGAAACTGGCAGCAAGATGCTCATACCCAGAAGAGGCCATCGAGGGGTGGGGGTGGGGGGACCCCATTCCAGGAGGGGTCCAGGAAGGGCACCTGCCCCATGCCCTCTTTCAGGGCTTAGGTGGCTGTGGACACAGCTGTCTGGTCAGCAGAGCCCAGACTGGCTTTGACCATGAGCATGTGGCCTCTGTATTCTGGAAAGCATGGCCCCATCACCAGGCCCCTCAGAGCTGGGGCTGGGAAAACCCTGTGGGCTGCAGCCCGTTCTCTCTCAAAGCCTCCAGGAGCGTCCTCTAGAGGCTGCCCCCGGGCCCAGATGGAATGGGTGTCCTTCCTCTAGGTGTCACCTTCGGTGGGCTGTGTACCCTGTGGGTCTGGAGCTTGTCCTGAGCTCACACACCCAGAGGCAGAGCCTGTTACAGGGATGCTGTCTGGCCGAGGGTGCTGCTCAGCAGGGGGTCTCTCAGGGAACTCGTCCTTTTCGGGGGAGGGGGTGTCTTATCCACGGATGCGTGTGTGACACAACGAGACTGGTTGTGAGTAGCAGAGGCAGAGGTTAGGGACCATGGAAGGAGCATGAAGAAACAGACTGTGGACTCTGAGGTGGTCAGACAGCCTGGAGGGCCCTGGAGGAAGGGGAGGTCAGGCTGGCCGTGCAGCCGTGTGCAGGCGTTTCCCTGTGTGGGGAAGGGAGAGGCACTGGGAGGAGCTGGGCCATTGTCTGCGAGGCCCCTGGAGCCGGAGTCCGTGCTGGGCTCCTCCCTGAAAGGGACACCAGCTGCTCCATGCGTGGCCAGGCCACGCCAGCTGGGCCGGTGGTTTCTGGCTTTTCAACGCTTTAGTCTCCCAGGGACACCATAACAAAGTACTGTGACAGGCCGCTGGAAACATTTGTTTTTCTCCGTTCTGGAGGCAGGACTCCAAAATCAAGGTTCCGTAGGGTCGGTTCCTGCCAGGGGCTCGGGTGGAGGGTCTGTCCCAGCTTCCGGTGTCGGACGTCCCCACCGGCAGACGTGGCTCTGTCTTCACACAGCCTTCTTTCTTGTGTTTTGTGTGTCAGATCTCATCACTTTTCCTTAAATCTCAGCATCTGGGGTGGCCTCATCTTAATTTTGTCGTCTCTTCAAAGAGTGCTTCCAAATAGGACCGTATTCATAGGTCCTGGGGTGAGGACTTGATCATGTATTTCTGAGGCTACAATTCAACCCACGACAGCAACTAAACAATTCCTCGGGGTTACACAGATGGCTTCTGGCTCCTGGAGGACACGTGTGGCAAAGCGCTGCCCCCTTGGAGACCAACCCAGGCCCCTTTCCGAAGCTGTGTGTCATGCAGGCTGTGCGGGTGGTGCAGGGCCGGGTTAGGCCTGGGACAGGCCCAGCCGCAGGCTTTGCTGGCCCTGGGGAGGCCGGGCAAGGAACCTCCTGACCTGATTGTCCAACGGAACCCACTCGCTCTTGTCCTGCCTCGCTTCCACCATAGGACCCAAGGCCTACCAGCAAGGAGCCAGGTGGCTTTGCCCCAGGACCTTGGAGTTTGTGTCCAGGTGAGCCTTGAACCTCACAATGGAGTCCAGTCTGGCTAGTGCTTCTCCAGCCCTGGGCAGTACTGAGGCCCTGGGTCCGGTGGGCGCCGCCTTTGTGAGCCACTTGAGCCCCGTGTCTCAGCTTCCTGTTCTGTGGCCTGGGAAGCAGTGGGGGAGGACCTGTTGGGGGAGGTCAGGTCAAGGCTCTGGTGAATGTGCTTGCAGGAGGAGCTCAGTCCGTGTTGGCCAGTGGCTCCATGAGCACCGCAAAGGACACACAGAGCAGCCCGGGTGTGTCCGCCACGTCCCTGGAGGGAACTGGTCAGATCTGGAGGCTCCTGACTTTGCTTGGTGTAAGCAGTGGCGTCGACATCCATGTGTCCGGGGGGTTCACAGGACAGAGGTTCGGCATCCGGCAGCTGACTCTGGAAATTGAATTCTGAATCTTGGGCAATGCTTGGCTGCTCGTGGTGGTCCACGTGCCGTGTTTTGGCAGCGTAGGTGGCCTGCACACTTCCGGCGTTCCCTCCTCTCTGGTTTTTATAGGCCCAACGGACGATGAGACTGGGGCGTTTGGGGTGCTGTCCCCACGGCCAGAAGCCAGAGCTGCCCTTCCCTCTGGTGCTGCAGACCTCACTCACTGACACAAAGTGAGGGTCATGGTTACCTGAAAATGCGTGGGAACCCAGGTGGCTTCCTCAAAAGGAGAAAGAACCGGCTTGGCAAGGACACTCCTCCATACATTTGCAGAATTTTTAAAAAGGCAACGCCAAGGAAACTGGGGAAGAACAAATGAAGATTCCTGGTGGGAGTTTCCAACATGCTGCTGCTGGTGGGAGGAGGGTTCCGTGTGGCGGTGGGAGAGACGGATCCATTGGGTTGCAGGGATGGACTTTCTTTCATGAAATGCGAGATTCTAAAGACTGGTTCGCTGGTACGTGCTTTGCCCCCCAGGAGCCAGCCCTCTGACGATTGTTCTGGAGGGCTTGGAGGGCGAGCCCTCAGCTGGCTGGCCTGTGGTCTGCCTGGTGAGGAGAGAACCTGCCATGGAGGCAGAAAGCCTAGTGTTGGTAGAGCGGGGTCTGCAGGTACCATGGGCTTCTGGGAGCTTCGGGGAACAGCTGGGAGTGGTGCGCAGGGGACAGACAGGAGGTGGGAAAGCAGAGGTGGGGTCATGGGGTGTCCTTCTCCAGGACCCTGTGGAGGAAGAGAGGGGGGATGGGTGGGTGGGAGGAGGCTTCAGCACCACGGCCAGCTCCAGCCGGCCCTTCCTGGGAGGGCCACCAGGTTCCCATAAGAGTTCCAGAGGACTGGGACGCCTGGGTGGCTCAGTTGGTTGGGCGGCTGCCTTCGGCTCGGGTCGTGATCCCGGCGTCCTGGGATCGAGTCCCGCGTCGGGCTCCTTGCTCATCAGGGAGCCTGCTTCTCTCTCTGCCTCTGCCTGACATTCTGTCTGCCTGTGCTCGCTCTCTCTCCCTCTCTCTCTCTGACAAATAAATAAATAAAATCTTTAAAAAAAAAAAAAAAAGAGTTCCAGAGGACTCCTCAAGCTTCCCTCTTGAGGGGGAGGAGACCGGCTTGTGGCATCGAGGGGGGACTGTTGGGCCTGATCTGTGCGTGAAGATACCATGACCCAGAGCTTACGTAAACCTCTCAGGCCTCACCCTCGCAGGTGGAGGGTCGGCCGTCCCCGGGGAGGCAGCTGGAAATGCTGTCCTTCCCCTTGCTTCCAAGACCGTGCTGCTGGCCACCTTCCTGTCCACCCCATGCCATTTCTTACCCTACCCTGGGTTGTGCTAGTCTCACAGACAGACCCCCACCACCCTCTCTCAGAAGATCTGCTGTGCCGTCTCTCCATAGCAGGCCCCCCGTGAAGCACCTTTTCTCTTTGTCCCCCCGACCAGTCAGGATCCTTGCAAGACCGAGGTGGTGCCCTTTGGTTGGGTTAATGCCCAGGGGCTGGCGAAGGGGCTGTTCTAAATCTGGGTGCCACGTGAGGGACAACACAGCGTATCCCACTCCCCTGGGGTGTGTAGGCACGGAGCCGTTGCCCTCTGGCCCGCAGGGGTGTGGGGAGGAGTTATATCCAGGCAGAGCTCATTGGAGCTATCCCCCTGCCCCTGGGATGCAGAGCTGCAGAGAAGGGACAGAGGGGTCCACACTTTGTTTCTCTCCTTTCTTCTCCTGCTGGGCTCCCCATTGGCCGACCCAAGCAGGAGGACGCTGGAGCATGGACACCATCCACACCACAAGGGGTGGGGAATGTGGAGCAGGGTCAGGTGCAGCACCCCCAAGCCACCGCCATCAGACTCCTGCTCCAAGCTGCATCCTTGGGGTGGAGACCATGGCTTGGTATGGGAGATGCTCGGATGCCCGACAGCATGACCTCACCATCCTCAGCGGCCTCGCGGCTTCCCAGCATCTGTGGAGGAGGCTGGTTTTGCTTCCCTGGGCAGAGCCTCCCAGGTGAGCTGGGGCTGCTAGCCTCTCCCAAGGCCCTGTGAGCACACAGGGCCGTGGGCATTTCCTGGGAACCTCTGGCCCTGTGGCGCTGGGTTGCATGTTAGAAACAAGCCGTCCTGCTCAGGGCCCACCACGGGCTCTGGCTGCGAGTCAGGGCCGGTCCCCTCATTCCCATAAGGAGGATGCAGCTCCCCGACGGCGTGAATGCCACCCTCGGGAGGTGTTAGCCCTTGGTTACATCTCCTGGGCCGCATGAGTGCAGAGAGACCAGACCACAGGCAGTGCCAGCCCCTCCGTCTCGGCTGGAGCCCCTTCTCCCACAGTGGTCCTGGTGTCTCACTGTCCGTGGGGCACCTAATGCCCACCTGCCCTCTACCCTGAAGTCTGAGTGTCCTCCCGCGGGCCTGGCTGGGGAGCCTCTGCCCAGTCAAGCCCCTGACTCCTTCAGGACAGCAGCCAGCCCTGTCCACTCTGTCCAGAACTGCCCGCCAGGCTGGGTCCATGGCACCGGCAGCCGAGCCATCCGGCCTGGCTGGCTCCAACTTCTGCAGCCGCGTCTGTGCGTGGGCACCCCCTCCCCGAGGAGAAAGCTGGTGGTTGGTTATGGCAAGAGGACCCCACAGTGATGGCCGGGCTGGAACTGGGGCGAGGGGTTCGGTCTGGGGGGTCCATCAGCTGTGGTCGTGTCTCTGAAGGCTTCTCTCTCACCTCAGCCTCCTGTTAAAGCAGGTGGTCACCTTCCGGACTCAACCACTGGCCAGTCCTTACCCCGCTCATACCCCCGCAAGGAAGTCAGATGCCACTTGGAACATTGAAGCTGAGGAAGTCCCACAGACACGCTCTCCTTGTGCATTTTACAGACGAGGAAACCGAGGCTTGGCAGGGGCTGTGGCCTCATGGTCGGGACACCCTGGGGCTTCTGTCCCCCGTGCCTCGAGCTTGCCTTGTCCTCATCCCGGCCTCTCGGTGTCTTTCAGCCCCTGGCCTTCGTCTACACCTGCTACATGGTCGGCGTTTTCACCGAGGAGGACAGCTGTAAGTGTGTGGCCCCCGGGTGCCCACAACAGCCTCTTGGTGACCTGGCCTGGACCGTCCAGGCTGTGGGCAGGGAGCAGAAGGTTGGACACAGAGGTGGTGACTCTGCGTTCTCCTGGACTTCTGCTGGCAAAGCCTGAGATCTTGCCTCTTAGGTGGATCCCCCTGCCCTCGGGGCTCTGTGTCTGAGCAGAGGGGAGGATGGCCCAGCCACCTAAGAACAGATGAGAGGGTCCCCGGGCTTTGGGCACCAGGGCTCAGCTCACACCCAAGCCCCCAGGTCCAAGGGCTCCCAGACTGCAGGGCAGGTCACACCACAGCCTCCACAGCAGCCGCAGGCAGAGGTTCAGCCCTCAGACCCGCAGAGGGGTGGGCCACTCTGTCTCCCGCAGCCTGAGAGACCGGGCCCTACTGGCTGTGGGGGCCCCGTCAGGCCTCAGTGCCAGCCGGTCCCGTCTGAGCAGCACTTTTGCTTTCTGCTCACAGAGGGGGACCCCCTTGACCTTCCTCTGATTTGCAACATCTCAGGCACGCTTACCAGGCCTGACTACCCCTGGCTCGGACACGATTCCCTGGAAAGACTCTGCAGAAGACAAGGCTGGGGTGGGTTGGGCCTGGGTGCACCTGGGGGCCACTGCTCCCGTGGGCAGAGCCCTCTCTGGGGCCCGAATGGCTTCCTATACTGGGAGACCAGACTGGCTCTGGACCAGGTCCCCCAGCTCTCACGCCGCGTGACCCCCAAACCGTCACTCAGACCACTGCCGGCTGGGAGAAAACTAAGGGGAATTCACATATTGGTTACATTAAAACGTTCTGGCATGGGAGTCAGCCCTGCGGTTCAGAAATGCATCACCTCTGCCCAGCAAGCCCAGCCATGCGCCAGCTGCACAGACACAGCTTCAAGGGGCAGGTGGCTGATGTTCATAGACGTGACGGGGGGCAGTGGTTGGGCCACAGTGAGGTGCCACGCAGCCCTGCGGACCCAGACCGGCCCCGCAGGCTGCCTCCCCCTGCTGAGCTCGTCAGTGTCCACCGGAGCGTTCTGCTTGGGGAGTCACACTGTCCATCCTCCAGAGGGACGTGGCCAGGCCTGGGCCGGGCCTGGGGTGGGCCTGGGGCGGTGCCTGCCCTCCCCTTGGGGCCCCCCAGGCTCGCCCTGCCTCTGCCATCAGCACACAGAGGTTTGTGGTTGGGCGTGCTCTCTGTTCTGCCATCTTTTCCATTGTTTGGGTCTTATTTTCTTTCAGTGGATTTCATTGGTGGATCTGACCCACTTCCTCTCCACCACGTCAAGGAGAAGCCTTCCAGCCTCTTGTTCGAGCAGGCGCACTAGTAAGCTTGGCCAGCAGAGCCCGCCCCTGGCTGGGCCTGGCCAGTTGGTTTAGCATAGCTGCGAGGCTTCTCTCCTTGTGGAAGCCTCACCAGGCATCCGTCTGCCTATCTGTCCGTCTGTCTATCGTCCGTCCGTCCACCTATTCCTTGCTCCCCGAGATCAGCTCCGTGCCGGCTCTGCTGGGTGTGGAAGAGCCGAGGCTCTGGGGCGTGGCCCCCGCCCGCTGGAGCTGCAAGCCCGGCAGAGTCCACGGACTTGGGTCTAAGATGGTTTTGTGCTGGGGCTGCTGGAGAGACCTCCTCGCAGGAGGGCGACGTCTTCTCGAAGGGTCTTACTGCGGCAGGAAGTTTGGGGTGTTGGTTTCTTTGGAGAATCAGACTTCTTTCCTCTTAAAAAGCAGTGTCCAGGACCCTGCATGCCCCCAGGCTCAGGATGGGGGTAACTGGGCGCTGCCCACTTCCTCTCAAGCAGCCCTTGCCAGGTCCCACATACAATCCTGAAACTTGGGGTCCAAGAACTGGGGTCCTTGTCATCGTGGAGCTGCGCTTCGCTTCCCCTTCTCCCATCCCACCGAGGCCCTCAGACACGATCCTGCCCTCGAGGCAACCCCTGTGGCCCTCCCCTAGGGTCCCCCGCCCTCTCGGCAGCCACACCCTTTCCGTCCTACAGGTGAAAGCCCATCTCAGCCAAGGGCCGTCAGGGGTGGCAAGCGTCCCATCTCTGTAACAGGAGAGCCCTCGCTCAGGCCACCCAGCCTGGGCAGAGGATGAGAGCAGACTGCCCCGGGCATCCCCAAAGTGCCCCCACGTAGAAAGTAGGACACTGCCCCGTAGACCTCCTTCCCCGAGAGGCAGGATTTGGTGGACATTTACAAGCTCAGTCTCAGAAGTGACCTGAGGCTAGGTGGCTTTAGAAGTCATCACAACGCTGAGAAGAACAGAATGAGGGAGAGGAGAGGGGACGGAAGGGGCCCCGCCAGGCACGAGGAGGCATGTGGGGGGACATGCCGGGAGATGTCTGGCCGCCGCCCTGCTGGTGAGCGGGTGGGGTGGGGCTGGCACATCTGGAAGAGAGGCTGCTGAGCGCGGTCCAGGGAAAACCCACCACTTTACTGTGAATCTCCAAAAGCACCCGAGCATCAGAAAACCCAGCTTTAGACCCAACCCCTTCGCCATGACGTCTGCAGCTCCCTTCTACCCTGGTCTGCGGCTGGGGACTGGGGCGGCTGGGGACTGGGGATGGCCCGTTCTGGTTGCCAGCTCAGCTGTCCTCAGCAGGCCTGCCCTGTGGCCCGAGGGATAGGCGGAGATGGGCAGGGCACCGGCGTGGCAGCCAGCACCTGAAGCACCTGGGAGAGGAGGAAGGACGAATGGGCTATGCCCTGTTGGCTTGTCCATGGACCAGGGACCTCAGCCTGCAGGCCCTCCCTCCCCAGCCACTGGAGCCTCCCCGCAGGTGCTAGGAGAGATGGGGGAGGGGCACAGAATCCCTTGACAACCAGGAGGCCAAGCTTTCTGCCAGCTGTAAAAATCAAAGGTTCACGCTCCCCTCCCACACCCGTCACGCACTCCCGCCTGGGCACCCCTCCTCACGGCAGTGCACCGCTGGAGCTCCTTCCCCTGGGCCCAGCTGCGGCCCACACACCCAGCTGGACAGGCGGCCTTATCCCCCCCAATCACTGGGGACATCGAGGCAGAGCTGGGCCTGGCTGGTACGGTTAAGGTGCCCCAGCAGAGCGGTGGTGGCCAGCCAGGGTGCTGTATTGAGGACCCAGGGCAAGGATCTGAGCGTCAGGGGAAGGTAGTGGGCTGATTGGCCACACCTGCCAGGGCCGGGGAGCTGGATGAAATCCGACGTGCTCCCTCCCGCCATCCAGCCAGGCTGGCCCTCCCTGGAGTTAAGATCATGTGAGATAAGGTGCCCCGGTGGCGGGGGGGGGGGTCACCATCCAGGCCCGTCCAGACATCTGTGAGGCCCACACGGGGAAGGACGTGCCCAAGGCGGGCCAGGCTGGGCTCTGCCAGTAGGCAGCGGCGTGGCCACTCACCTGGTCTAGGACAGGAAGGTGCGCACGCAGCTGCGGATGGGGGCCCTGCAGACGGGGCACAGCTGCAGGGCGGGTGCACATTCGGCACAGACCCCTGGCCGCAGGGCACGAAGACAGTGCCCACGGCACGGTCCAGGCAGACTTTGCAGGTTCTCTCCTCCTGTAGGCGCCGCAGCTCCTCTCCCACATCCCCGGCTCCTGGGGTTCGAGAACCCAGTGGTGCCCTCTGGGCCTGCGCTCCCCCGTGCCCCGGAGGACCCCGTGTCCACCCCAGACCTCTGCCATCTGTCCTGGGCCAATGGAGGAGGGCCCCCTCCCCCAGGAGGCAGGGCAGCTGGCCCTCCCCCCAGGTGGGCCCCACACTTACCTGGCTCCCTGGCACCCTCTGACTGGGCTTCTCTTCTGGGCGTGGGCAGCTCGGGACCAGTGTGGACAGGAGCTGTAGGTGGTGAGGAACGGAACAGAGGCTCCCCAGGGGATGTGAAACCCCACCCAGAGGCTCTGGCAGGAGCCCGCCCAGCCCCACAGCCCTCCTCCTGCCCACCCCCCGCCATGCCGTAAACCCCAGAGCCCACGCCACGTGTCCCTGCAGACCCTGCACTGTGGCTGTGGGAGCATGTACCCGGCCCTGGGGGCTGCGCCCAGAAGGGATGAGCAGGGAGAGGCTGGGGCGGGGATGTACCTTTGGTCCCCGGCCCCCTGGCCCCATCGTCTTTCTGGAGCAGGTCTGCCACCAGCCAGGATGCGGAGAGGTCAGCCGGCCCTGCCCAGCCATACTTCCACTGCAGCAGGTTCCTCATGCAGCCCGGCCCAAAGCCCGTGCCCAGCGCGGCCTGCACTGCTGGCCCCCGCACCGTGCGGACCGCTCCTGGCTGTCCCCGGCACCTGCAAGACAGGGAGAGGGGCGCTGGACCGAGGAGAGGAGGGCTGGGGTCAGGGGGCGGTGCTCAGGGTCATGGCAGAGGCGGTGGCTTGCTACTGTGGCTGCTCCCCAGGGGCCTTTGAGGCGATTGCAGCCGCGTTATCTATGTTCCAGGGAGGGACGTTCCCCATGATTCAGACGCACCATGACACGGAAAAGACAGTCAAAACTCATTGCCGAGGCCACTGGGGACAGAACCCTGCCAGGGGCTGGGTGCTGCTCCTAGAGCATCATGTAGCCCGGCTCAGTTCCCGACGGTTGGCACTGTCCCCGTCTCAGGGCTCGGGGCGATGAGGCTCAGGGCAGAAGTCACTTGCAACAGACTTAGAAGAGCCGGGGTCTGAACCCCGGAGCCCCTCGGGCCCTCACCCTGCAGTTCTTGGCTCAGTGTAGACAGCAGCCGCTGCCCCCTGTGGGCTCACAGCTACAGCCACCGCGGGGGGGCAGGGGGGCACCTGGTACACCTGCATCTCCTCTCCACGCTCCCAGTGCCGGCCCTGGGGTTGGCGATGCTCACGGTGGGTTGCTCAGTGGTAGCAGGGGACTGCTTCCTCTCCCCTGCAGCCCCAGACACAGTGCCCCCGCACGCAGCCCCCTGCACCCAGAGGGAGCCCAGGTAGGCCCCTGACAGCTGGCCGAGTAGCCTCACTCTCCCTGCACTGCTCGCCTTCACCACGGGGCGGGCCCAAGGCGCCTGGGGAGCAGAGCACGGGGCAGGCACCAAGGCTCACCTGAGGGGATGGCAGGGGCCCGTCTTCTGGCTCTTCCAGTCGGTCCTGAAAGGAGTCAGAGAACATCCGAGGCTAGAGTAGACAGAGGAGTGGGGGGAGGGCGAGGGACCCTTCCCCCAAGTCCCAAGGAGAGGCAGGACTCACCCAGGAGCCGAGCGGGTGGCAACGGGCCTCCTCCACGCTGCAGACAAAGTCCCGTCCCCTCGTCTGGAGCAGGAACTCACACCTGAAGGAAGCGGGTTGGGAGGCCCCGTGGCATGGCTTGGGCTGCAGGAGAGCCCCTCTAGCCAGCCTTGTGCCCCCACAGGGCCCTGCAGCGGGCAGCTGGGGGTCACGGAGGGTGAGGCCCTTGCTGGGAAGGCTGTTTTGGAGACAACTTCTGTGGAGCGTCAGGGAAGGAACAGCAAACATGCTGTCCTCAGATGCCCCCATCCCCAGAATGCGGCACTCCCGCCCCCGCCCCTGGAAGGGGAAGCTGGCCCGTGCCCAGCCCTAGGAGCGGCCTGCAGGGTCCTCACCTGGGGAACCACTCGGCGTGCTCTGTCCAGGGGTCATCCCCTTGCTCCCAGCTCTGCAGACCCCCGCAGCAGAAGAAGCACCTCACTTTGTCTTGCTGGCCTAGGCGGAGCACGGATGCTGGCCCTGCCCACCCCCGATCTCTTGGTACCCACCCACTCAGCCAGGTGTGCCCCCCTAGGGCTGTGGGGGCTCCCAGGTGGCCTTCCCCTATGTGCCAAGGGCTATCTGGGGTCACTTATGAGCCCTGGGGGCACCCAGGTTCTCTGCCCCCTCTTTGCCCTTATTCTTGGATTTCACAAGCACCCCACTTTCTCAGAGGCGAAGTGGGGATAGTAGTGCCTGGGCAGTGGTGCAGACTTTCATTCAGGGGAATGGAAGGTCTGCAGGCAGACAGTTAGGGGCGGGGGCACGGCCTGGATGGATGTCCCAGTGAGGGAGAGGAGAGCGTGCCAGGTGCCTCCTGTCTCTGCCCCCGCAGCCCTCACCCTGGGGATGCACAGGGTCCACGGGTTGGGGGTGCTACAGGCCTGACCCTGGACCCCAGGGCCCCGTGGACGCCCCACACGCTTTCCAGCCAAACTCCCCCTGTGCACCGGCCACCCAAGGGGAGACTTTGAGGCAGGGGACGAGTGTGGAAAGGCCACGGGACCCCTGCCCCCTCTGTGTCAGGCCCAGCCCCGCCCTGCTATAGGGGGAGGGGCTCCAGGCCCCAGGGTCCCCAGTGGCGCCCCCAGAACTCACCAGTGTAGAAGAAGCCTGCAGCGGCCAGCCACTCAGGCCTCACCATGGCGGTCAGTGGCCATTCACAGAAGGAGGCCAGCCGCAGCTCCTCAGAGCCCATCCCGGGGAAGGCCGGTCTTGCCGCTGGGGTAGCCCTGGCCCCCTCCTCCTCTTCCTCCTGCCCTGAGAGGGGGCGCGGCTGGCCCAGGATCTGCCCATCTATGTGGTCCTGCCCCCCACCCCCGGACAGGGCACCGCTGGTGTCCTGGCCCACAGTGTGGCCACACAGAGAGAGGGGTCCACCGCGCCCCTGTGTGGGACCGCTGCCAGCTGCCCAGCAGCTTGGCTCTGGGCCCCAGCACCAGCACTTGGCCCTGTCCTCCAGCCCCATAGCACAAATCCCAGCCCTGACCAGTTCTGCGGTGGCAGTGGGGCTCACGGAAGCCAGTCCTGGAATGTGCCCAGCCAGCCTGCCTCAGGGCTCCTGATCCCTAGGCCCCGCCTTGGGAGAGCAGTGGCCTTTGCCTACAACAGCTGGGTGACATGGGCAGGCCCAGTCCTGCCCCACTGGATGCACCAGGTGGGGGAGTGGCCAGGGGGCTGCTGCTTTCTGGAAGGGGCCAGTGTGGCAGCAGGACTGTGTAATGGGGCCCCCAGGGGTAGGGGCCTTGCTCCGCTCCACAGGGGTGGGCAGTGACTCTCAGGACAGAGCGGGAGGGGCTGGAGCACGGACACCTCTCCCAAGGCCATAGAGGGCTACTGCTGGCTCCAGGACCTGGGGGAGGAGGGAGGCAGGGAGAAGGGGGAGGCGATGCTGTGGGTCAGCTCCAAGTTCCTGGGCCAGATGCCAGTGCCAGCCTCTGAAGGTGGTAGGTTCCAGGGGCTCTGAACTATGCAGTCAGTGCTCCCCCAGAGGGGAGGGCACCCCCCTCTCTCAGGGATGACACCAGGCTCCCAGGGACAGGGTTGACTAGTGTCTAGTGACGGGCTGGCCCCTGGAGCAGTTTCCCTGGACATTCTGCTCTGAACCCTGGAGCAGAGGGGGCACGAGACATCCACCGGCCGGGCCAGAGCAGAAGGTCTCAGCAGGTCAGTGGACAGCTCTAGCCCTTAAGCCATGAGGATTGGGGACAACCGGGCTTGTGTCCTTCCCGAGGCACTGCAGAAGGGGCTGGCCTGAGCTCACCTATGTCACCTCCCTCAGCCTCAGTGTCCCGGTGGGACTAGGCTGGAGGGTGAAGCCACACAGTGTAGGCTCAGTTTTCCCATTGGAATTGCAGCCCTGGAGGCCACGTGACCCAGACACCAGGGACCTCGGGGGAAGGGTCGCAGTTCTGAACACCTGCACCTGTTGTGTCAGACCCACCAGGCTGCTTGGGTGACCCGACCAGCCGTCCCACCGCCCTCCCTGGTGCCCCCGCTCTGCCTCAGGACCAGCCCACCTCCCTGGGCCTGCCTGGGGCACCTCTGCGTGGCTAGTATGCATGGGCTGCTCCCACCACTGGCCAGGGGTCCCAGGTAACCTGCACTTACCCCAGGCCTAGATCAAAGCCACCGGCCACGTGGGGCAAGCTTCCCTCAGACCTGGTCATGGCCACACAGTCTCCACCAACCAGCTCGAGCCCAGGGGTCCCAGTGCCCCGAAGCCCAACAGTTAGGGGACACAGGGGAGGGCTGTACCCAGGGAAGCTGGAGCTCCCAGGTGGGCAGAACAGGCTCTGATGTGGAAAGGATGCAGAGAAAGCCTGGACGGGGTGTGGGAGTGGCGGCCCTGGTCAACCCCACTCCCGCCGCCCCCACTGCCCCTGCCTAGGAGCCCAGACCTACTCCCTGCTTCCTGGGGCAAACCTGACTCTTCCGCCCCCTCAGGCCCTAAACCCTTTCTCATCCCTAACATGCTTTTCCTGGCAGCTCCCGTCTCCCATCTGCTCACAGGCAGCAGCCCTTTAAAACAAGTTTGTGACGAATAAAGTGAGGAACCAGGCTCGGTACGATCATTGCTGACATTGGGAGGGGGGCAGGGGGGCTGACAGTGGGGGACAGGAGGGGCTAACAATGAGGGGACAGGGGGGCTGACAGTGAGGGGGGAGGAGGGCTGATGGGGGCAGGGGGCTGACAGTGGGCGGTGGGGGCAGGAAGGCAACCCTGCCCTAGGGCCGGTAGCAAAGCCATTGCAGGCAGGGTGGGCCGTAGCGCAGCAAGG